GCTGGCCTCCAAGCCATGGAGTGAACCTCCTGGTACTTATCTCCGCTATTCTTGGGTGTTAGTCTCCGATTTTGTTACTTTATATCCCCCAGATGAATGCAATCTTTCTATGTCTGTCCCTCTCTTTCTGGCTCATTTCACTTAGCATGATACTTTCCATGTAGTACCATTTGTATGTAAATTTTATGACTTCATCTTTTCTAACAACTGCATAGTACTCCATTGTGTGGATGTACCAAAGTTTCTTTAACCAGTCATCTGTTTTCGGACACTCGGGTTTTTTCCAGATTCTGCCTATTTGAACAGTGCAACAATGAACATAGAAATGTAGATGTCATTTTGACTGTACTTTTTTGCCTCTCCGGGATATATTCCCAGGAGAGGTATTGCTGGATCAAATGGGAGCTCAATTTCTAATTTTTTGAGAATAGTCCATACTGTTTTCCAAAAGGGCTGAACCAGTCGGCATTCCTACCAGCAGTGAAGGAGGGTCCCTTTCTTGCCACATTCATGACAACACTGGTAGCTTTTGTTCTTTCGGATGTGGGCCAGTCTTTGTGGTGTGAGATGATACCTCATTGTTGTTTTGATCTGCATCTCCCTGATGATTAATGATGTAGAACATTTTCTCATGTGCCTTTTAGCCATTCAGATTTCTTCTTTGGAAAAGTTTCTGTTCATTTGATCACCGCATTTTTTGATGGGGTTGGATGTTTTCTTCTTGTAGAGTTCAACCAGTGCTTTGTATATCCTTGATATCAACCCCTTGTCAGATGGGTATTGGGTAAATATCCTTTCCCATTATGTAGATTGTCTTTGTATTCTGGTCACTATATCTTTTGAGGTGCAGAAGCTTCTTAATTTAAGATAGTCCCACTTGTTTAGGGCTGGAGCGATAGCACAGTGGTTATGGTGTTTGCCTTGCAAGTGGCCAACATGGCCAACCCGAGTTCGATTCCTCCGCCCCTCTCGCAGAGCCTGGCAAACTACCGAGAGTATCTCGCCCGCACGGCAGAGCCTGGCAAGCTCCCCGTGACGTATTCGATATGCCAAATACAGTAACAGTTGTCACAATGGAGACATTACTGAGCCCGCTCTAGCAAATAGACGAACAACGGGAGGAGAGTGACAGTGACAGTCCCATTTGTTTATCTCTGTTTCCACTTGCTTGGTCAGTGGAGTGTCGTCTTTAAAGATACTATTAGCCTCAATATCGTGGAGGGTTTTGCTGACCTTGAAGAGAGCATAGAGAAGTAGTTACAAATAAACGATGTACCTTATGGATTTTTGCCTGATGTTGAGATCTTTTTTGTGTTTTTTTTTTTAAATTTATTTATTGAATCACTGTGGGGAAAGTTACAAAGCTTTCAGGTTTAGGTCTCGGTCATGCAAATATCAATCACATTTCCCTTTACCAATACTTATTTTTCACCACGAAGGACCCCAATAACCCCCCACCCCCCATGCCTGTGGGGCAGATGAATTCTAGTTAACACTCTATCTACTTTGACTAGCTTCATTGTTTCGATAAAAGTTGCACCATTATTATTTAGACTTTATTCCCCCCCCCCCCCCCATCAGCCATGCTGAAAAAGCATTGTGAAATGATTTGCTTTCTACAGCTGGGTTCAAGAATTAAATGATGTCGGCCACGCAGTTTTGGATTTCTGCTATTTTATTTATTAACCCTGGAAGTATTTCTACTGAGAGTCAGATAATTAAGAGATTGGTTTCTGTGCTTCTGGGGCCGTGGCCGTGCCGGAGAGCTGCTCGTGGGGGGCAACTGGTGACCTTGGTAGGGCGTAAAGGATGGGCCGGAACGCCTGTCCCCCCATGAAGTTTCAGTCGCACCCCCACCCCCGGCTCAGACCTGCTCTCCACAAGGCTCCCATGCGGCCCGAGATCTTTAATTCATTTTGATCTTGCTTTTGTGCATAGTGTTAGGTCGAGGTCTAAGCCCATTTTTTGCATATGGTTGTAGGACAAATTCTCTTTCAACAGGACCACCCACCCAAGGGTGGAATCCCATGGTTGTGTTTTTCCTCTCCTTGTTCAACAAACATATAAGCATCCATAATATTAATTATTTTGTATGGACACAGTAAGAGGTGCATTAAGTTTATAGAATTGCTCTCCTGGGGTCATCCTGATCTCAGACTACAGTGCTCAGGCCAGATTAGTCTTTTTATCCCTAGCAGGGTCCTATTCTCGTTGTTACTTTTGGATCATGACAGCATTTGTCCATGATCAAACTCTTATAGTTAAGAATTGTGGCACTTTGGCCAGGCCCATCTCGATGCCAGGGTAACACATAGCTTACTGTTTGCCCTGGTTCCATCCAGTCCCTCGTTGGGACCCTGCTTTTTTGAGGGCAACTGAGGCTTAAGTTGAAGTAGCAGATGCCCGGGAATGAATAGTATCTGAAGCCAATTAAATTCCAAGTTACAAAAGCATAATATTAATTGTCTTCTTGTGTCTTAACAAAAGAACATTGCCTTAAAGTAAACTATTCAAAAGACATAAAGGTAAAGGGTAAAGGCCCTCCCATTGTTCATCGATTTGCTCGAGCGGGCCCAGTAACGTCTCCATCTTGAGACTTGTTGTTACTGTGTTTGGCATAATGAATACACCACGGGTAGCTTACCAGGCTTTTTTTATTTTTTTACATTTATCAGAATTTATTGTATTTTCTACACAGTGGATAAAATATAGTGTTTTTTTTTCTTTTTTTATTAGTGAAAAACCATGAGGTACAGTTATAGGCTTACAAATTTTGTGCTTGGGTTTCAGTTATACAATGATCAAGTGCCCAGCTTACCAGGCTTTGCCGCGCGGGCAAGATACTCTCGGTACTTGCCGGGCTCTCCGAGAGGGGCGGAGGAATCGAACTGGGGTCGGCCATGTTGGCTGCGTGCAAGGCAAATGCCCTACCGCTGTGCTATCGCTCCAGCTGGGGCGATACAGAAGCATAATATTGTCTTCTTGTGTCTTAACAAAAGAACATTGCCTTAAAGTAAACTATTCAAAAGACAAAGGAGAGGAGAAAGGCAATATTAACTTACAATATAAGTTCAGTGTCATAGAAAGATCTGACCTTACAAATTAACAGAAACTCATTAGGGGAATAAGCTGATTAACTGTTTGGAGAAGAGAGCATAGAGAAGTGGTTACCAATAAACAAAAGAATGGGAGCATTGAAATGGGTGTGACCTGATAAACCTAAACCACCCGAGGAAGGACAAAACAGTATTATCCTACAATTATGCCTGTCTGTCTTTAAACTCTTAGCATTTTAGTGGAATTGGGGGGTGGGAATTCCTCCTAAGTCGTGTTCTTGTGACCACTCTCTGTGATAGTTGACTAGCGGGGCCACCTGGCAGTGCCGTGAAGGGGTGAAGGGCATGTGGTGCTGGGGTTCACACTCGGGCCCTTAAGCATGCAAGGGATGTCCCCCTGAGCTGTCTCCCTAGCTTCTTTGGAGAATTTTAGAAGGGAATTGGGTTGACCACATGTTTACCAAGCAGATAGCCTTACTCCCAAATCATGGATAAAATACTGCCCTGTTACGTCTTCCTAGTCTTTATTTTGAATCTAATTAAAAAAACACTTTGATGCAGAGATTTAATTCCCTTATGAATCTCCTTTTGTTTACAATTAGAAATTGTATTTTTTGATGCTAAAAGATCTGAGAGAATATCTGTATCTCGGAGAGCACAGTGTTTGGTTCACAGTACATTGGAAATTTCCTTTTTGCTCAGAATTATAGAATATTGTCATTCAGGGGTGCTATTGGTGACATTGGCAATGTTTGAAAATGCAGTGGAGGCATATTTGATTGTCATAGTGTTATGCTTTTAGCATTTAATGAGCAGAGACCAGAGATGCTGAAAGTTTACTGAGCAGGGAATAATCCTGCACAGTAAATACTGTGTCTCAATCATGAATTCTGGTGGTTAATCTTGGGAAGCATTACTGGAAGTTTACAAGAAAACCTAGATCTATCTACCTTAAACCCAAAATGAAAACCAACACCATTCTCAAATGGTGTTGGTTTTCATTTCTACTAAAGTGGTGTGTTAGAGTTATTCTTGGGTCTCATTGCAGCTCCATCATCTTTCCCTTAAAAAATAAGCAAACTTATACAAGCAAGAAGATCCCATTCCACTTTGAAACTTATGGTCTCTATCTTCGTTGAAAGGGAAACCAATCTCATATAAATGTGACTTATATTTCAGAATTTTTACCTGTAACAGCTTATGCTCATGATTGAGTAATACTTTACACATGAAAGTTTTTCTCATTTAAAAAAATATATATATAATATATGTTTAACATACCCATTTTTTCCCTCTAATTTATTGATAAAGTTAGATGTAGCTTTATGTTTGGACTTCAGGAGAAAGGGTAGTTTCTGACTTTCACATTTTTTTTTCTTTTTGGGTCATACCTGATGATGCACAGGGGTTACTCCTGGCTCTGCACTCAGGAATTACTCCTGTCGGGTCTCAGGGGACCATATGGGATGCTGGGAATTGAACTTGTATTGGCCACATGCAAGGCAAATGCCCTACCTGCTATACTATCGCTCCAGCCCCAGCTCTCACTTTTGAAAACCACAACTTACATGTTTTCTGTCAGTTTTGGGTTGTTTATCTTTTTCCCCTTTACAGCTCTAGGGAACTGCCTTTATTAATGTAACATTTGTAAATTTTTATTGTTTATAATGCAAAGATAAGAATCTCACTAAAGCATTACCTTTATTATTAGAGTATGGTTCAGTTTAATTCTATGTAAGATGTATAGTTGTGTCTAAATTTAGAAATTTTACTTCAGGTTCCTGTTTTAATGGATTATCTTGTAAAAGTGTGTTCAGTGCTTGATTGATGTGCTATCTAGTATATATTCTCAAATTTGTGTGTGATATTTAATATGTTATATCTATGGCTTGCATAAAAGTTATTTGTGTTATTTAGTATTCCCTGTGTCTTTTTGATTTCTAGGTTGTGGAAAATACCCTCAAAGTAAACCCAGTATTAGGTCCGCAAATGTTTCAACCTATTCTACCCTGTGTTTTTAGAGGCATTATTGAAGGGGAGGTAAGTATTCTTAGGATAGTATTAGATTCTAAGTTCTAGTTCTAACTGTTCAGCTTAATTAGAAAATTAGTTCTTCTTTGTTAGAGGTATATGGAAAGCTTTTAAAATTATTAGACAGTTTTGAAGTAAATTAAGCAAATTTCAGAGTAGTTACAGCCTTGCCTTTTCTACATAAAAAGTACTGATCCATTGATAAGTCATTTCTTTAACTTATGCTTGCATATTTTTACACAAGAATTTGAAGTAGAGGAATGGCAAGAATAATTCTAGTTTTTACATGAGGCTACTGGTTATTTTCAAAGTGTACTCTTAAATAGATCCATATAAATATTATTTTAAATTCTTCTGCTATACCTTGGTATTTAATGTATAATTCTTCCATACAAATATCACATAGTAGAAGAACTTAAATATTAAATATTTGTCTCTGTTTTTCTCTCTGTATATGCGAGAGTATATAAATATATGTACTATATGTACATAGATACTTGATAAAGTCAGAATTCAGGAAAATATAAGCACTTCTTTAAAGGAAGAGTGGTATGAAGGAGATTATTATTATTCCATGGTTCTGTTGATTCTCACTTTGTTATGTATTGTTTAAAAATTGGACTTTTTCCTTGACACAATTTTGCATGTGCTATATTTTAATTGCACAGAGATATCCTGTAGTGATGTCAACATACCTTGGAGTTATGGGTCGAGTCCTGCTACAGAACGCTAGCTTTTTTTCTTCACTACTTAATGAGATGGCGCATAAATTTAATCAGGAGGTAAGAATTAGTTCACCTAAATGAAAAGAAATCTTTATCCATATAAATATTGGAAATCGTTTGATGAACTTAACGAGTCTGTAAAAGACTTTCACAGTATTTAAATATCTATGTTTTGTATATGTAGTAATTAAATATACCTAAACTGGGGAGTGAAATGTCTGGGAATGGGTTGTGGAGAGGAAGAAACATAGTCTGAGAGGAGAATTAGGCTGAAAGAGGTTTATAGAAAGAGGGTGCTCCCGGGGTGGATCTTACAGGCCTCTAGAGAGGCTAATGAAAGCCACCATCTTGTGGCTGAGGGTGGGTTTATATTGAAGTAAAGGAGGCTTGAGGCGGGGGTTGGCTAGCTAGCACCAAAGCAGGAGGCAGTCTTGTGTTGTGGGTTCCAGGAATTCTGGAGATGAGAAATTCTGGGGGCAGAGGGTCTTCAGAGTGTCCTTCTCTGGGCTGACTCAACAGGGAAAAGACAAGAAAAGAGAATCTGAATGGCAGTTGAACCATTACATTTTGCTGTCAGAATCGAGAATTTTATCCTGGATAGTCATGGAATAAAATTTTAATGATTGTTCGTGTTTGGAATTGAAAAAAAAATTTTGAGGTATAGTTTACCAGAATATTGGAATTGTCTCACAGTTATAGTGCTGCTACACCAATCTTTTTGCCATTGAGTCAAAGTCCCTCCACCACTGTCCCGTGGACCTTTCTTCCTCTTCACTTCCTAGTTATCACTTCTGTTGATAGTCATGTTTGTAAGTATTACTATTTTAAAAAATGAAACCGGAATATTTCACATGAAATACTTTTACATGACTCTATTTCACTCCTTTTGATGAACTTTTCATGCCATGCAGTGAGTCTCCACCGTAGTTTGGTGTGAGGTAGGGAAGGTTGGGCCACACACAGCAGAGCTTTGATTCTTTGCTCAGGGATCACTCCTAGGTGCAGTTTCGATGATGAATTGACTGCATCCAGGGCAAGTGCCTTAAACCTCTGTACGCTCTGCTGTCTCTCTGACCCACCATCATATTTCGTGTGTAAATGACTTTTCCAGTAAAGTTTTATTTACAAAGAATGGCCTGTAAAAAAAACCAGCCCTTGGAATAAATATGCAGTAGGTTCTTAAGTGATTGGGTTATTGGGTCATTCTTTTAAAATGCCTTTTTTTTTTTTTTTTTTTTTACATTTTTAAGTCAATAACTTGTTATAACTTCCAAAATGTAGACTGGTTTGTAAATGAAAGTTTGTGGTTAGTTGTGTAAACAAATATAAATATTTCCCCTTGAAGGAAAACCAGAATAGGGAAGTATTAAGTTTGAAATGCTATTTTAGAATTATAATAATCAGAGATTTTAGCCTTAAGTGAGATCTTTCATTTATTGATTAAATTTAACTGATGGGATCATGTTAAATAGCCGAAAGAGTTGCTTCAGTTGAATTTAGAAAAAATTTTCTGAATTATTTTCATAACAATATATTTAATGGTAATGGAGCCATAGCACAGTGGGTAGGGCGTTCGCCTTACAAGCGGCCGACCCGAGTTCGATTCCTCCGCCCCTCTCGGAGAGCCCAGCAAGCTACCGAGAGTATTCGATATGCCAGACACAGTAACAACAAAGTCTCCAATGGAGACGTTACTGGGCCCGCTAGAGCAAATCGACGATCAATGGGAGGGCCTTTACCTTTACCTTTACCATTTTAAGTCTTCATAGCAAACCGGTGAGATAATAGTATTTTTCTCTTAATCTCACACCTGAGAAATCTAAGGCTAAATTTAGTAACTTGTTCAGGTGTGCACAGTCTTAAGTGAGGGGGCTGGTATACATCTCAGTAGCCTGATTGCTCTCTCAGGACATATCCCAGTGCCATCCGGCACATCCTGGTAGTGGCACTTCTCCACTGTATGCTGGAAACACTTGCTAGAGATGGGTCTGGATGCATTTCTGCCAAAAGCCGCTGGGGTTTGAGATTTGTTTCTGAGTCTCTGGGATCATGGCCGTTAAGCAGTTCAGTCAGGAACCAGAGAGGCCATGCCTCCAATTATATAGCTGAGCCCGAGGTGGTTTGTGGGTGTGTCTCCCACATACCTAACATTTGGCCATTTACTTTCTTGGTAAACTTTGCCCCAAGTTTTTGGGGTCTGGCCAAAGGCACAGCAGCAATTTTGGGGTATCTGGAAGTCTGACGGCTCCATCAGACTGCTGATGCGCTCGCCTCACAGGTAAGATTGACCTGCTGGTGTCACCATACCCCTTTAGCTCAGTACTTTTAATGTGTTGATAATATTATTCAGTCATCACCACCATCTATCTCCAGAGTTATTTTGTTTTGTGGGCACATCCTGCAGTGGTGGTAATCCTGTGGCACTGAGGATCAGAATTCATGTCCCTGTCTGCAGCATATGCGCTGGTAGCCCTTTGAGCCATTTTCCTGGCTACTATCTTCAGAGTGCTTTGTCTTGGAAAAATCAACCTCTATACTAGTAAACAGTAACTCCTCCTTTCCTCTCTTCTACAAGCTTCTATTCTACATTCCACATTCAGTGAATGTTATATATGGTAGCACTGTAGCGCTGTCCTCCCATTGTTCCTCAATTTGCTTGAGCGGGCTCAATAACATTGTGAGACTTGTTGATACTGTGTTTGGCATATTGAATACATCATGGGGAACTTGCCAGGCTTTGCTGTGCGGGTAAGATACTCTAAGTAGCTTGCTGGGCTCTCTGAGAGGGGCAGAGGAATTGAAGTCGGGTCTGCCAGATTGGCCATGTGCAAGGCACACGCTCTACCCGCTGTGCATGTAATTTTATAATTAACATGCCACTTGGTATACTGTCCTGAAGATTCATGCTGGAGAATGTCAGGTTTTCCTTTCTTTTTCAGTTCTGAATTATATTTTTGTATGTATTTACCATGGGCTGGAGCGATAGCACAGCGGTAGGGCATTTGCCTTGCACACGGCCAACATGGCCGACCCGAGTTCGATTCCTCCGCCCCTCTCGGAGAGCCCGGCAAGCTACCGAGAGTATCTCGCCCGCACGGCAGAGCCTGGCAAGCTCCCCGTGACGTACTCGATATGCCAAACATAGTAACAACAAGTCTCATGATGGAGACGTTACTGGGCCTGCTCGAGCAAATTGATGAACAACGGGAGGACTGTGACTGTGATGTATTTGCCATATAGTAGATGATGCCGCTGATTGTTTACCTAAGAAAGGGCTATTTAGGAACCCTAGAGATGGTAACGCTGGTCGGGTACTTTCCTTGCACGCAGCCAACCTGGGTTTGATCCGCAGCACCCTATCTGGTCTTTCAAGCACAGCCACCCATGAGTACCCCTGAGCATGAGCCAAAGTGGCCCAAAAACAAAACAAAAAAAGGAATGGTTACTTAGGTTGCTTCCACATGTAGTTACTATGAGTACAACTGCTCTTATAAAGGGTGTACAGATATCATTTCTTTTTTTTTCATAGTGCACGGCCTAAGGCCTAAAGAGTATCAGTTGGTGTAGCATTGTAATTTAAATTTGCATTTCCCTAATGATTAGTGGTATTGAGTGTGCTTTCATGCTCTTAAGCCATTTGTGTATCTTCTTAGGAGAAATGTTTATTCAAGTTCTTTACTCGTTTTTGAATTAGTTTTTTTTTAACTTTAGAACTTATTTTGGATGTTAACTTATCAGAAACATGATCATACTTTCTCCTATTCTGTGGGCTGTACTTTTACTCTGTTGACATATTTGGTGCTGCAAAGTTTTTTTTAAATATTCAAGAATTTCAGTTGTCAATTTTTTTCTTTTAGTAGTTCAGCCTTTTGTGCCATTGCTAAGAAATTGTTACAGAATACATTGTCTTTTTGTATTTGTGTTTGTGTCTGTGTTTTAGGGACTCACATGGAGTGGTTCGAGTTTTAGATTTTTCATTTAGACCTTCGATAGATTTTGTGTTGATTTTTTAATAGTGCATGTATATGATGGTAGGAGGTCCAAGGTCATCCTTTTGTGTGTGTGTCTGTTCAGCTTTCCCATTGGCATGTGTGGGAAAAATGTCTCTTTCCTCATTGAATTGTCTTGACACCTTTGTTAAAAATTATTTAACCATGTATGTAAAGGATCTGTTTCAGTATCACCAGACTATATATAACTCTTTATGTGATTATCACATTGCTTTGATTACTTATCCTTGTAGAAAAGGATGAAATCAGGAAGTATGAGTTTTCTGACTTTTTCCTTTCTTAATTTTTTTAGTTTTGGGGCCACAGCCCATTGGTGCCCAGGGAATACTCCTAATTCTGAGCTTGGGGACCACCACTCTGGTGGTGCACCGGGGACCTTGTAGGGTGCTTGGGATTGAAACCAGGTCAGCCATGTGCAAAGCATGTGCCGTACCTGCTGTACTATGGCCCCTGCCTTTTCCCTTATTTTGAAAGACATTCTGTCTGTTCTCTTGAGATTTTCTGTTTTTGCAAAAACATGTAAATGAGATTTTAATAGAGGTTCTAGTATATCTTTAGATCACTTTGGTTAGTATGAACATCTTAATGACATTAAACTCTTCAATCCGTGAACCTAGAATGAAGATAAATATTTCCACCTGCTTTTGTCTTTTCATCAATTTTTTATGATTTTCGTTTTATAAATCATTCACTTCCATTGTATGTTAGATATCACTGTATCACTGTCATCCCTTTGTCCATCGATTTCCTGAGCAGGCACCAGTAATGTCTCCATTCGTCCTAGCCTTGAGATTTTAGCAAGTGCCACATTGGAGGCTCTCTCAGGGTCAGGGGAATGAGACCCATCCTAGTTACTGTGTTTTGGCATATCGAATACACCACAGGGAGCTTGCCAGACTCTGCTGTGTGGGCAGGATACTCTGGGTAGCCTGCTGGGTTCTCCGAGAGCAAGGACCATATTGGATATAGCTTTAAATTATTTCACCCCCCAAAAGATATATCTAATAAATCACTTTAGCAAAGCAGAATACAAAAGCAAAAATTTATTTTTAAATCAGTTATTTCTATTCACAATGAACAAACTGGAAAAGAAATTGGAAAAACTGTGTCAAAAAGAATACTTAAGAATTTAACGATGGAAATGAATGATTTACATATTTTTGCAGAAACAGAAAGTAGTGTTGCAGCAACCAAGTCCTTGATATTTAACCTTTTCTCGTTTTTCATTTTTTCTTTCTTTGCTTTTTTAAGTTCCAACCTTTCTCTTCTAAAACTTACTAGTTATTTTTGGTGATTTTCTAGTGCTTTTTGTAGCTTACAGCTCTTACAAAATTTCTACTGAGCTGAAATTATTTGTTTATGCAGATTCATTTAGCAGTCCAGCCCATTCTAAAATCCTGTCGTGTGAGAATCTTATCACTATGAACACATGAACATACTGGCTCTTTCTCCACTCACCATGATTCCATTTGGGCCTGTGGTCCCCACTGGTTATAGGATTCTCTTGTGTTTCCTTTTGGGGGGCAGGATGGTGTGAACCTGGCGATGCTCAGGGTTTATTCCTGGCCTTCACTCAGGAATTACTCCTGGCAGTGCCTGGGGAACCATATGGGATGCCTGAGATTGAACCCGGAATGGCCACATGCGAGGCAAACATCTTATCCACTGTACTGTTCTCTGGCCCCTCTTGTCGTATTTTCCAAACTTAACTAATCTAAACTGCTGTCCCTGTTAACAATTTGGAGTGCTCATTAGCTCTGTCTTATGACCATGAAACACATTCCTGCTCTTTCCTTTCTTGTTGACATATTTATTTTGATAGGAAATTAATGGTAGACATGGAAGGGAAATAATTTCACAGTTCTCTGTAGGCTAGAGGAGGTAATCCCCAGTTCTCTGGTATGCCTCTTTCTTCTTGTCATTCCCATATTGTTTTAGTGTTCTATTTCATGGTGTTGATATTCAGAAAAAATTTTAAGAATATTACGCTATTGTTTTGGATTAGAATTCAGTTTTCTGCATGCTGTTGACCCGGGTTTGATTCCCAGCATCCCATATGGTCCCCTGAGCACTGCCAGGGGTAATTCCTGAGTGCGGAGACAGGGGTAACCCCTGTGCATTGCTGGGTATGACCCAAAAAGCAAAAAAAAAAAGCAGTTTTCTGGGACGGGAGCAGTAGTATAGTGGTTAAAGCATTTGCCTTGCACACGACAGACCTGGATTTGATTCCCAACATCCTGTATGGTCCTCTGAGCACCACCAGGAGTAATTCCTGAGTGCAGAGCCAGGAGTAACCCCTGAGTATAGCTGGATGTGACCCAAAAAGACAAAAAAAAGTAATAATCTGATTGGACAACTTGCTTCTGCTGTCTGTTCTGATACTAGCAAAGTTAAATTATCCATTACTTTCACTATGTGTATTACAGTCTGCCTGGGGGAAAAAACAAATCTCTCAACCCTCCCTTCTTCCCTACCCCCTCATCCCACCGCACACTAACCCCCTCCCCTCCACCCGTGCTGGGGTTTGAGAATCAGGGCTTCACACATGCTAAGAAAGTACTCTATTGCTGAACTATATCCCCAGCTTTCCTGTTCTGTCTTTTTATTCATTTCTTAAGTCATAATCATTTTAAGTCAGCTACATTATAACAAACTTAAAATACTGCAATTTGGAGTTAATGTGCTTGTCATTTTTTTTCTTTTTGGGTCACAACACCCGGTGATGCACAGGGTTTACTTCTGGCTCGTGTGCTCAGGAATTACTCCTGGCGGTGCTCAGGGGACCATATGGGATGCTTGGAATTGAACCCGGGTCAGACGTGTGCAAGGCAAATACCCTACCTTCTGTACTATTGCTCCAGCCCCTAAAGTGCTTGTCTATTATATGTAGCTGATTTCGGTTCAATCCCTGGCACAGAGCCAAGAGTAAATCTTGAGCACTGCTAAGTTCCTGCTAATTAATAGAGTAATAGTAGCTTAATGAATATTATATTTGTTGAATAGATTATACGATGAAACTTTTTGTTTTTCAGTTTTCTAAACAGATCCTTTGAACTTTGGAGTAGCACAATTAGAAGGTACATTTAGGAGCTTAGAATAGCTAGGAACAACTATTCAAACTGTAGGACTTGGTGCTAAATAAGTCAAAGCAATTTTTAAATTTCTAGGGTGAGAAATGCTTGATTCTGTCATCAAAAGCATAGTGACTTATATAAAGTTTTGGCTGCAAAGGTATCATTAAAAGTTAAAGTTTCTAAATATAGTTTATCAAAATCAAATGCATTCTATTAGCTTTTTTTGACTAAGTTTTAGAGAACTTTTTCAACAGTTTCAGGAAAAATAAGGGAATCTCATGAAATCAAGTTAGCTGGCTCTCCAGATTAGTTGGAGTCATTTTCTGACTTTTCTCAGTTATTCCTGCTACCAGAGTTTGCCCCAAATTCAGGTAATCAGGTCTTTGTTTGATAGGATAGAACTTTTTGGTTTCAGAGGGAAACATACCTGGCAGTCCTTTGTTCAAGGGTAATTCCTGACTGTGCTTGAAGGGATGGGGGTTGAATTGGGGTTGTTCTCATGCAGGACAAGCACCTTGAACCTGCTCTACCTTTCCAACCCTGGAATTGAACTTCAGTCAGACCTTACATGGCTTTAGCCTTTAACAATATTTGTTTAAAAAATAAATAACATTGAAAATATTTTAAGAGCCCTCCCCTTTTTCTATTTTTCAGATGGACCAACTTTTAGGAAATATGATTGAAATGTGGGTTGATCGTATGGACAATATTACCCAGCCCGAAAGAAGAAAACTTTCAGCATTGGCTCTACTTTCTCTTCTGCCATCAGATAATAGGTAAGCCAGTGGTTTTTTTAAAATTGCATTTTTTAAAGCATCCAAAAAAAATTAGTACTGTTTTTTTGCCATTGAAATTCCCCTATGCTCTGGACAGTACTGTTTGCTTGTACATGCATTCTGATTTTGTTAGTAGATGATGATGTGGCAAGTCTACATACAGAAAGATGTGACTGAGAGTGGCAACATTGCAATTTGTGTCATTGTATTCACCTCATTATTTTTTTTGGTCTGAATTTTCACTTTTTATAAGAACCAGATTTTATTACTTATAGACACACTAAATATATGACATTTAATGGAAATATCATTTCATGAACTATCCTCCTGGTAACCAAAACATATGCTACATACATGCTGAGGTTTTTTTGTTTTTTTGTGGGGGTTTTGTTTTGTTGTGGTGCTTAGTTTTGGGACCACACCCAGCTGTGCGCAGGGCTTTCTCCTGGCCCGTGCTCAGGGATCATTTCTGGCAGAACTTGGGGACCATATGTGGGATTGTGGACTGCATGCAGGCCAGCCATGTGCAAGGCAAGTGTCTTTCCCACCAGACTGTTGCTCTGGCCCCTGTGCTGCCTAGTTTTATTATTTATTTCAGATTAATGACTAAAAAAGTGTTTTTTCTTTATAGATGGAAGTCCTACACTTTGTAAATTTTGTTCATTTAATTTCTACTTTATTTTATTATTTATTGTTTTTTTTTATTTTTGGTTTTCCCCAGCTGTGTTCATGGCTTACTCCTGCCTCTGCTCAGGAATCACACCTAGAAGTGTTGGGGCAACCATAAATAGTACTGGGTATTGAATCAGGGCTGGTCATTTGAAAGGCAAGCAGTTTAACCCCCATACTATCTAATCCAGAACTATCATTTCTACAAAGCAAAAAAATACCTTTTTTTTTTTTTTTTTGCTTTCTGAGTCATACTTGACAATGCACAGAAGTTGTAGCACTGTAGCACTGTCCTCCCGTTGTTCATCGATTTGCTCGAGCGGGCCCAGTAACGTCGCCATTGTGAGACTTGTTGTTACTGTGTTTGGCATATCGAATACATCACGCGTAGCTTGCCAGGCTCTGCCGTGCGGGCGAGATACTATCGGTAGCTTGCCGGGCTCTCCAAGAGGGGAGGAGGAATCGAACCCGGCTCAGCCGGGCTGGCTGCGTGCAAGGCAAACATCCTACAGAAGTTACTCAGGAATAACGCCTGGCGTTGTTCAGGGGACCATATGGGATGCTGGGAATCGAACCCGGGTCACCTGCATGAAAGGCAAACACCCTACCCACTGTGCTATCGCTCTAGCCCAGAAAATACTTTCATTTGAACTTTTTCTTTTTTTTCTTTGCTTTTTTTTATTGCTGGTCACACCCAGCAATGCTCAGGGGTTACTCCTGGCTCTGCACTCAGGAAGTACTCCTAGCGGTGCTTGGGGGACCATATGGGATGCTGGGAATCGAACCTGGGTCAGACACGTGCAAGGCAAACACCCTACCTGCTATGCTATTGCTCCAGCCCCCTGATTTGAACTTTTTAAAGGAATGTTTATTTTCTTTGTTTTTATATATTGGGGGGTATTTTAATATTAAAGGCATAAAACCAACCTTCAGACTTGATACTGTTGGAATAATGATAATACTGTATTAGGGCTTTATATATAAAAGCTGTGAGTATTTATCGTCCATAAGGAAAATGAATACGTATATAAACTTATACATAAACTGAAGGCATAATGTTATTTAGACTGGAAATTCTCTTAAACATTAAAAATTCAGATTTAAATGTTAGGAAGAGAGAAGTTTGCTATGGGAATAAGAGTTTAATTTTATTATGTCGTGAATTTTTGTAAAAATTTTTTGGATAGTAGTGAATTCGTGTCATTTTTAAGTTATCAAGAAGGCGGTAATCAAAATGTGAAGAATCTGATTTATGGTTTAGGTTTTGTTTCTTTGGGTCACACCTGACAGTGCTTGTGTTGTGGACACCATGTGGTGGTGGGGATGGACCAAGGCCTTCCGTATGCAGAGCAAGCCCTACAGTTTATGCAGAAGTCTTTGGTCTGGTTCACTGGCCTGACTGAATTTTATAATGTCTCTAATGGATTAGCGATTAAAGAAGCATAGATTTACATATGGACAATGGAATGCTTGGAAAAGTAATCCAAAAAGTGAATTGCCCCACAAGCGTGCCACGTAGTCAGGGGCTCGTGACTTCAGGATGTTCTTTTCAGGTGTTCTAGTGCAGCCCCTCCAACCATCTTTCCCCTTACCGTGCCACACCTCAGAAAAGATGAAAGCCACTGACCTGCAGCCTTGGATGTGACTGATGTGCAGGACAGGTGCTGTTTAAAGGGATAAAAAGGTTGGGGAATGCTGCCCTAGTGAGTGGAGGTTGGCCAGTCAGGTGTTTGATCACCTTCCTTTTACGCCTTTCTTCTTTTTACAACTATGTACTTGTTAGAGTAGGGAGAAACTCCCCCCCACACCTCCATAGTGATATTTCCTGACTAATTTTCCTTGTAATGATAATATCTTGCTTCTGTTTCTTTTTATGTTTTGCAGTGTAACTTTTCCACTTGACTGAAATAGTAGATCTAGAAAATCATGGTGATAGTTTTTTTAAATTCAGCTAATTTGGAAAAGAATTGATTTTTCGCTTATTTTAGTGGGGTTTTTTTTTGCTTGTTTGTGTCTTTGTTTTTCAAATGCGAAAGTATACTCTCCGAAAGTATCTTTTCTCAAACATAGAACTGGGAACTTTTGCTCCAGATGATTATTTGTCATGAGAACTGCCCTGGGCGTTCGAGGCTGTGAGGCGACATCCCTGGCTTCTACCACTAGGTGGCAGTAGAACCTCCTCGCTCCTCTTCCGAACTGCCGGGCCTGAAGACTCACCATTAGGGGAAACCATTAAACACTGTTCTGTCTAACCCACGACTTCTGGTTCCAGAAACTTGACAGATCGTACACTTTATTTCACGATGCGGGGACTCCCAATCCATGTCCTAAGATCAGGGATCACTCCTTACTGTGTGTGGGATGGTTCGGTGCTTGAGTCTGTTAAGATGCTCCTTGGGTCAAGTGGGAACCACCAGGGCCACATCTGGAGGGACTGGGGAGGCCATGTGGTGCCAGGGATGGAATTTGTGGCCCCCTCCGCATGCAGGCCTGCCCTCTAGCCCTCTGAACTCCCTTCTCAGCCCGAATTATGTCCCAGCTTCACCTTCAAATCCTTTAGCTACTGTTCACTGAGTAATCACTAACCAAATTACTTTCTGTGCCTAAGAATGAGATAATGCCCTTAAATGATGCAGAAGAATTGTTAGAGGGCCAGAGTGACAGTATGTCTTGCCTTGCATGTGGTTGACCCCAGTATCATCCCTAGCGAAACCTGAGTCCAGAGCCAGAAGTAAGCCCTAAGTATTGCTGGACGCGGCTCCCAAAGGCCACCCCCGCTTTCTTTATATTTAGTTGGGAATGTTTTCTTTTGCGTATAGTGTGATGCAGTTTGTAGTAATTTCGGGTTTTGATCACTTCAATTTAACTGGGTGAAAAAAAAATCCTGTAGTACCTTATTTGGGGCCTAGGCTGTGTACGTGTATTTTTTGTTTCATATTATGGATTGTAAGCTGATTTTATTCCCATACACAGGTGCCTAATTCGAACTGGTGGATGTTTCTAAATTGAATTTTGTTTAAACTTAATAATAGGGTACAAATAGGTCCGGTTTAAGAGAATGGACAGTTGATGCCAGATTGCTTGTTCACTGCTTTTTCCATAAAGCAGTTTGGATAAGAGGTGATTAGTTCTTAGGCTTGGTGATTTCTTTTTTTTTTTTTAATTGTTTTTATTTTATTTTCATGATTTTTTTTAATTTATTTATTGAATCACTGTGGGAAAGGTTACAAAGCTTTCAGGTTTATGTCTCAGTCATGCAAATATCAAACACATTTCCCTTTACCAATACTTATTTTTTACCCTGAAGAACCCCAATAAAACTCCACCCCCCACCCCTCCCCGTCCCTGTGAGGCAGATGAATTCTAGTTAACACTCTATCTGCTTTGATTAGATTCATTGTTTCAATAAAAGATTCACCACTATTATTTAGAGTTTACCTCCCCCCCCCCCCCCCATCAGACATGCTGAAAAAGCATTGTGAAGTAATTTGCTTTCTACAGCTGGGTTCAAGAATTAAATGTTGGTTTTGGATTTCTGCTATTTTACCTATTGACCCTGGAAGTATTTCTACTGAAAGTCAGATAGTTAAGAAATTGGTTTCTGTGTTCTGGAGTCGTGGCCGTGCTGGACAGCCGCTCGCAGGGGGCAACTGGTGGCCTCGGTAGGGCGTGAAGGGCGGAGCGAAACGCCCCCCTTCCCATGAGGTTTTAGTCACCCCCACACTCCCGGCTCATACCTGCTGTCCACAAGGCTCCCATGTGGCCGCCATCTTTCTTTCCAGAGAGGAGAGGGCGAATGGGGCAACACCCTTTCCCCTCCGGCAGACTTGATGGGCTGGATCAACGCATAGTCCGTTCACTTTTCTGCTCCAAGCTGCTGGGTTCTGCATTAAGTCCTTGTGCTTCTGGGGCCATGGCCGTGCTGGAGAGCCGCTCGCGGGGGGTGACTGGTGACCTTGGTAGGGCGTGAAGGACGGACTGGAACGCCCCCCGACCCATGAGGTTTTAGTCGCCCCCACTCCCCCAGCTCATACCTGCTGTCCACAAGGCTCCCATGTGGCTGCCATCTTTCTTTCCAGAGGGAGGAGGGCGGAAGGGAGCAACACCCTTTCCCCTCTGGGCAGAAATGATTGCCTGGATTAACGCATAGTCCTTTCACTTTTCTGCTCCAAGCTGCTGGGTTCTGCATTAGGTCATTGTGCTTCTGGGGCTGTGGCCGTGCTGGAGAGCTGCTCGTGGGGGCAACTGGTGGCCTCGGTAGGGCGTGAAGGGCGGAGCGAAACGCCCCCCTTCCCATGAGGTTTTAGTCGCCCCCACACTCCCGGCTCATA